TCAAAACAACATCCACTCCTTGTAGTTTGAAAAGTAATTCATTCCTATCCATCTTCCTTCTTCTGAGGACCAGCAGACTAGCTTTTCACCATACATCTCTACCTATAGACAGAAACAAAGAAACTACGTTGTTATTACATTTATTTATCATTCCCTTTTCCTAATTAGTATGTAAAGAAATTTCTTCCTAAAGATTGGCTTAGGCCCCATTCAGAGGTCAGAATCCTAATAATTATAAGCTTATAACAAATTTCTCTGGAAGTTCACATCATCTGAAAATTCACATCATCTGAAAATTGTTGAAACCATCTATTACAGATTATTAGCTACCTTGGGCAGCTCTAAGAGCTATGATAGTTTTAATTTCTTCCTTGGTTTGTAACCCTTTAAACTTCCTCTATCTAGTACCTTATATATGCTTCCTTATACATGCATTCATACCACTTAGTGTAATATTAGTTATTTACATAGTAAAAGTGAAAAATCTTCAAAAAATGGTTTAAGGCCATAACTTCTGTTTTGACTTTTAGATTTTAATACAAATTAGAACTGCCTTGTCATTTCTAGAGTTTCATGTACAAGCTTGAGTATGAAAAGAAAACGAGTTTACTGCATTAGCGTACAACAGTGAGCCAAGATGGCCGATTTAGGCTTGACAGGTCAGCTGTTTGAAATTACAGTGTAAAGCCTGCACAATTTTTCAAGGCAAATGACTAGTTAATTCTATAGCCTATTAGCTCTTAAATGATAACAAATAGAAATTTGGGGAAAAGCAAAAATAAATAGAAATTTTGCTTTTTCTTACTCGGGGTAGCATTCACTCTAATGATATTTTAGCAGTAAAAGTCTTACGAACTATGCCAATAGTTTTTGGTGACAAAGATAAGCAATTCAAAAAACAACTACAATAAACAAGATTGAGGTGTTCAAGCTACCTTATATAGATATTTCAACAACCAACAACTTGAAGATCTTGGTAAACCTAACAAGGAAAATTACCCAAGATTTGAGGATATGCTGAGGTAGCTGGAATGGTCTTAACATTTCCTTTAACACCATATGCCACACAATTTTTCAGTACAAAAAAATTGCACACCTGTAAAGATGAAAGAAAGGCCATTCTAATAGAGGTAATTTCCATCTTGGGGAATAGTAAAACTTTCGAGTAAATTGACTTTGAGTTTGAGTAAAAATTAGCTTACACGCGAATTTGGCTATCAAACAACCTATTTTAGACGATCAGCTTTCACCTAAAAGGTATAATTCAACAAATTTAAAACATCAAAGAATAATTTCTCACCTTAAAGAAAGATTTCCTCAACTTACTGGTTATATTTGAAATTCAACTGGAACAAAGATAACCATGTCTTGAGGTTTTTCTCTTTCGAGCACATTTTGACGAGTGATTTCTCTCCAAATAAAAGGACGATGTACTTGTTGATATGCTCATGTGCTAGTCCTTCGTCTCTAGTTTTGATCCTCTTTGAAGCCCTTCCATCGAATGCCTCTAAATTCTGATAACGTCGATCAGAAAACAAACAGACTGTGCATTCCAAACAAAATGGCGGCTAAAATTCTTTTGTCTTCTATTAACGCGCGCATGCGCAGTACAAATTGCCTATATGTTACATCACATAATAAAAAAACGCTAATCTGCGCTATACAAACGCTATATTATTACTATTTATCAGAAAAACCAGAAGAACCAGGGGAACCAGGACAGAAGGACCACACGATCACGTTAAAGATCGCATATATATAACATCACATAGTAAAAAAACGCTAATCTGCGCTATACAAATGTTATATTATTACTATTTATCAGGAATTAAATTTGATTCCATTCAATGTCGATCGTGACGTCAGCTGTGGCTATTACACCGGAGACCAACCACTATTTACTTTATGCAGAACCAGTACTAAATGCATTGTCAAAGGGCTCATTTGCACTTTAAACTTGAGTTTGGAAATGTTCAATACTATGCATTAAGCCTGATTTATTATGCGAGAATCGTGACCTCTTGATCTGCCATCCATTGCCCAGCTATTTGTTATAACGGAAATCCGTCTAAAAATCCTCCATCAGGATGCAAATAATACTATTTACCTTTGGGGTGCAACCATGTTGGTTGATCTAACAAGAGAAGCCACAGGTAGCCCAAGCTTGGTTTCTGTGGTGTCCTGTTATGAGGGAATGTATGGAGATTCATCAAAAATTTCAATAAAATCATTGAAACGTGAAATAAAGCCTCGAAATTTTAC